GCCCCCAGGTGTATCCCAGGTGTATCCCAGGAGCCCCCAGGTATCCCAGGTGCCCCCAGGTGTATCCCAGGTGTATCCCAGGTGTATCCCAAGAGCCCTGAGGTGCCCCCAGGTATCCCAGGTGCCCCCAGGTGCCCCCAGGAGCCCCCAGGTGTATCCCAGGAGCCCCCAGGTGTACCCCAGGTGCCCCCCGGTGTCCCCGAGCCCGCGGTGACGGCGCTGTCGCAGGTGCTGGAGCGGGGGCTGCAGTCCATCCCGCTGAGCCTGGAGCTGTGGCTGCACTACATCGCGCTGCTGCAGAGCTCGCTGGACCCCGCGCGGCCCGACAGCGCCCAGCGCGTGCGTGGGTGAGTGGGGGGGGAATGTCCTGGGAATGTCCTGGGAATGTCACTGGGAATGGCCTGGGAATGTCACTGGGAATGGCCTGGGAGTGGCCCGGGAATGTCACTGGGAATGTCACTGGGAATGGCCTGGGAATGTCATTGGGAATGTCACTGGGAACGGCCCGACAGCGCCCAGCGGGTGCGCGGGTGAGTGCCGGGGGAATGTCCTGGGAATATCCTGGGAACGGCCCAGGAATCCCAGGTGTATCCCAGGTGCCCCCAGGTGTATCCCAGGTGCCCCCAGGTGTATCCCAGGTGCCCCCCGGTGTCCCCGAGCCCGCGGTGACGGCGCTGTCGCAGGTGCTGGAGCGGGGGCTGCAGTCCATCCCGCTGAGCCTGGAGCTGTGGCTGCACTACATCGCGCTGCTGCAGAGCTCGCTGGACCCCGCGCGGCCCGACAGCGCCCAGCGCGTGCGTGGGTGAGTGGGGGGGGAATGTCCTGGGAATGTCCTGGGGAATGTCCTGGGAATGTCCTGGGAATGTCACTGGGAATGGCCTGGGAATGTCACTGGGAATGGCCTGGGAGTGGCCCGGGAATGTCACTGGGAATGTCACTGGGAATGGCCTGGGAATGTCATTGGGAATGTCACTGGGAACGGCCCGACAGCGCCCAGCGGGTGCGCGGGTGAGTGCCGGGGGAATGTCCTGGGAATATCCTGGGAACGGCCCAGGAATGTCATTGGGAATGTCACTGGGAACGGCCCGACAGCGCCCAGCGCGTGCGCGGGTGAGTGCGGGGGGAATGTCCTGGGAATGTCCCCGGGAATGGCCTGGGAATGTCACTGGGAATGGCCTGGGAATGGCCCGGGAATGGCTTGGGAATGTCACTGGGAATGGCCCGGGATTGTCACTGGGAATGTCCTGGGAATGTCTCCTGGGAATGTCACTGGGAATGGCCCGCCTTTTCCCAGGATTCTCCCCCTTTTCCCAGGATTCTCCCCCCCTTTTCCCGGGAATCTCCCCCCAGTTTTCCCGGGAATCTCCCCCCAGTTTTCCTGGGATTTTCCCCCTGCCTTTTCCCAGGATTCTCCCCCTTTTCCCGGGAATCCCCCCATTTTCCCGGGAATCCCTCTGAGCCGGGGGTCCCGCAGGGCGTTCGAGGCGGCGCTGGCGGCGGCCGGGATGGATTTCCGCTCGGACAAGCTCTGGGAATCCTACGTGGAGTGGGAGCGGGAGCGCGGCGACCTGCGCGCCGTCACGGCCATCTACGACCGCCTGCTGTCCATGCCCACGCAGCTCTACAGCCGCCACTGGGAGAGGTGCGTGAGGCCGGGAATTCCCCGGGAATCCACCGGGAAACGGCGGGGAAACACTGGGAATTCCCTGGGAAAACGGTGGGGAAACGCCCGGAATTCACTGGGAAAATGGTGGGGAAATGCCCGGAATTCACTGGGAATTCACTGGGAATTCACCGGGAAATGGCGGGGAAACACCCGGAATTCCCTGGGAAAACAGTGGGGAAACGCCCGGAATTCCCTGGGAAAACAGTGGGGAAACGCCCGGAATTCCCTGGGAAAACAGTGGGGAAACGCCCGGAATTCCCTGGGAAAACAGTGGGGAAACGCCCGGAATTCCCTGGGAAAACAGTGGGGAAACACCTGGAATTCACCGGGGAAACGGCGGGGAAACGCCCGGAATTCCCTGGGAATACAGTGGGGAAACACCTGGAATTCACCGGGGAAACGGCGGGGAAATGCCCGGAATTCACTGGGAATTCACCGGGGAAACGGCGGGAAAACGCCCGGAATTCACCGGGAATTCCCCGGGAATTCACCGGGGAAACGGCGGGGAAACGCCCCGAATTCCCTGGGAAAACAGTGGGGAAACACCCGGAATTCACTGGGAATTCACCGGGAAAACGGCGGGGAAACACCCGGAATTCACCGGGAATTCCCTGGGATAACGGCGGGGAAACACCCGGAATTCACTGAGGAAACAGTGAGAAACAGCAGGGAAACAGTGAAAATTCACTGGGAATTCCTTGGGGAAACAGTGGGAAAACAGTGGGGAAACACCTGGGAATTCACTGAGGAAACACTGGAAAACACCCGGAATTCTCCTGGGAAAACAGTGGGAAATTCCCCAATTCCGGGTGTGAATTCCCCGATTTTGGGTGGGACTTCCCCAATTCCACGTGTAAATTCCCTGATTTTGGCTGTTAATTCCCCCGTTCCGGGTATGACTTCCCCAATTTCAGGTGTGAACCCCCCGACTTTTGTGTGAACTCCCCAATTTTGGCTGTGAACCCCCCGATCTGGGTGTGACCCCCAATTTGGGTGTGACCCCCGATTTCTTCGTGAACTCCCCAATTTTGGGTGTGGCCCCCCCGATTTGGGTGCGAACTCCCCAATTCCGGCTGTGAACCCCCCGATTCTGGCTGTGAACTCCCCAATTTCGGTGTGAACCCCCCAATTCCGGCTGTGACCCCCCAATTCCGGCTGTGACCCCCCCAATTCCGGCTGTGACCCCCGATTCCGGCTGTGACCCCCCCAATTCCTGGTGTGACC